TGTTTGCTGCTGTTGCTGTCTCTGGCTGAAAGTGTGTACGTGTGAGTGAGCCACCGTCGTCTGCCTGCCTGTACACTCACGTTTTTTCGTTCTATTTAGTTTGGTTTGGTTGCTGTTGAATAATACATTTTCACGGTTTGTAGACCGAAAGTAACCCGCGAGCTACCTTCATATCAAATGTGTCTTACCCACACCACCACAGGGCGTATGCTTGATGTGTTTCAAAAGTGTGTGTTTATGCCCTGCACAATGGCCTTGCCTCGCCTCGCCTCTCGTACGAGTATGATGTACGGGTATGCATGTGCACGCCTTTTGCTTGCCTGCCGCATGCCGCATGCCGCCTCCGAAAGGACTACGCGAGGCAGTAAAAAACCCTTTTCATTGTTGTTTACAGATCATTGACGTTGATTGTTTAAATGAAATGTTTGCCGTGCATTATTTGCTTTTACTTTTAGGGCGGGTCGGATGTTTGGCTGGCCTGGCTTCTGTGTGCAGTTTGCGGTAACATAAACCGCCGAGAATAAGCTAAATATAAACACAAACGCTAATGCCCGAGTATTTTGATGTGAAAATGTGTGTAGTTGTAGAAGTGATGACCTGGTAAGCCCCTCTCTAAAGGTATGCAATGTTTTATTGATAGGGTTTAGACATGGGCCGGGAAGGAGTTGGCTAAAAGTCGAACAAAAGGAAAAAAAAACGCGGGGACAAGTGTGTGGTAAAACGTCGAACAGTAGGCGTTACCGTCCGCCCGCCCCGCCCCGCACGTGTGCTAATATTCCGTACAGCCCCAGAAAAGGGAGGCAAGGATTTTTTCGTAAGCCCATACAGCCGTAAACCTCCATCAACCTCCGACCACCAACCGCCAAATGGCGGATCTATTTTCCACCCACTTACGCCCGTGCTTGACTCGACTCAGGTTATACTTAATTCACGACCCGCCCAGTATACGCCCATGCTATTGCCTTCACTTAACTTCCTTCGTTAGCTTACACCTTTCTGCGTTATTAGGGCTTCAAATTATAATTTTCCTCGAATTCCTTGGTTTGTGCTGCCAGCCATGCAATTATTTTCAACAGCTTTTGCAGGCGAATACAAAAATATAATTGCTTTTTTGCATTTCCACACAAAGACGTGCAATTAACTGGGCAACTAAAAAAAACATAAACTAAATTAAGATAGACAATCGAAAAAAGTACAGTTTCGGCTTGCCTCTCTCTCTCTCTCTCTCTCTCTCGCTCTCTCATTGTGGCAATCGTGTATTACAAAGCAGATCATACTCGTAAATTATTTATACACATTATATGGTATAAGTTTTTGGGGGGAGGTCAAAAACTTTTTCACAAACTGTTGACTGTTGCGAGTAAATTTTAGTTTCACTGCCGCTGCAACTGATGGACACAGGCAAGGGGCAGGAAGGAGCAATAACAACTTTTCACAGTACCCACATTAATTTCCATATATGCTTAATTTCCATCTGGCCCTTTCATCTCTACAGTTGGGCATATATTTTCTGTATGCTGCTGTACTGTTATTTTGTAGAATTTGTTGCCGCCGCTGCCGCTCCTTCTACTCTGTGACGTGTGTTTTTTCATTCTTAATTGTTGTACACTGCACAGGGTATAAGGTTTTTATCCGTAAAGATACGTTATTTTGAATTCAAAATACGGCCTTCCATGCCCATATTGCCTTGTGTATTCGTTCCTTACGTGCCTAAGTAGTATATGTACATTTCTAACAGGATCGTTTTTGCAGTCTAATCTTTATATCATAAAATACTAGCATAATCCAACAAATCAATTAGAAGAGTCATATTTGAAATTTTTGTGTGCGAAATTGGTTTAGTTAATTTATTTTTAGGAACAATGTAAAACAATGTCATATCTAAGAAAGTGGATAAAGTTTCCTCTGTGGTTGCATAGCCCAACCCCAATAAACATAGCTTTTACTATAAAATAAAATCGACTTAAAATAATTGTATCACACGGCGGCTATCAATGAAAAGAGGACCTTTAAGGGTATCTTTTGCTTCGGCACCTGAATGTAGGCTTCTACCTTCTAGCTTTTCAGTGCTTTGGTTAGAATCGGTTTGGTTTTGGTTCTGCAAACGCGTTCGTCAGCAACAACAAACAAAATGCAAATACAAACAAAAGAATTCATTATTTTACTGTTGTGCATTTAAATTTGATACAATACACGCCATTTCAAAACACGTACACACACACACGCTAACACATCGCTACCAACCCATTCGCACTTTCAATTCGGACCCGGCCTCTTGCAACGGACGTTCATCGTGCGTTTTTTTCTCCTGCCTTTGTTTTGCTTTGTTTTTTGAGTTTTGCATAAATTTTCGTCTCTTTCATTCTGTTTGCTTTGACCTGGTTTTTCGCCAGGGCGGCCATATTCCGTTCCCAACAGCTTGTGTATTTTTGAGTCCTCCTTTCTCTCGTTCTTCCCTTCTCACCGCTTGTGCGAGCGAGCATTTTTCGGTTCTCATTAAAATAGGTAAACAAAATCGCATAAAATTTCCTGATAGACAACAGATAAGAGTTAAAACTTTGCGCAAACTCTGGGTGGGTGTGCTCTGCGTGTTCCAGTGGGTGGGCGTCGGCTTTTGTCGACCACTGTGTGGCTGGCCAAATGAAGTGTAATACTCGACGAGAGAGTGGATGCGCTTAAAACACACTTTCACGGGACTTATTTGGAAATAAATGTCGAAAGGCTGCAATTACAGGTCAACTCCCTTACTCGATAAGGTTAAGTGGGGCTATTTGTTGGTACTGAAATATTAGTACGTGGGAATTTTAATACGAGTATGGAATGTTGCATATTGCAATGCACGAAACGAAATCGGATATTCCCAGACTTGAATTTATTTCCCAACTGATACCAGGAGACATCACTCTATTTAAGCCAGCAATTTTTATGGGGTACACAATAATTCGAGTCCGACGCCTTTCCGCATTCACATGAGACCTTTAAAGCTTTCAATGGCGACTCCTAGATCAGCCTGAGAGCCATAAAACTTCTACAATTCTTTCAGTTTCTCTTTTTCCTCAACAGAGCAGGAGTTTACTAGGTCAACACAAATCAGCATAAGCTACACAGCTCCATATCGGACAATAACATTTTTATGTGTTAAAGCTGTATGACAAAAGGTCACTTGGAACCAGAAACCAAGAACCAAGCACAAGCCAAACCTGAGAGAATGCACTGGGAAATACGGGTACGTGGAATGTTGCTGCAAAAGTTTACCGATTTGTTTTTTGGCTATTTTCCTTTGGCTAGTCATAAATCTGGACAGCTGTAAGCAAGCAACAAATGGGGAGAAGCAAAACAAACGATAGTTCAAAGCAAAAGCCAGGGACATTCTGGTCCGTTCTGGACGAAGGAAACTGCTAGGAGGAAGACTTTTTTACGAAGTTGCCATGGATCAGTCTTTGCAGCTGCTCGCCTTGTGCTGCCACCAATCCACATCTCCCCACATGAGCCATGGGCTCTGAGAGCACACTCTGTTCTGTTCTTCGTGTGAGGATGCCACTGTCAAAAATGTTGAGCTTGTGTAAACATGCAAACAGGCAGGGGCTGCCTGAATTCGGAGCCTGCTCTCCGGGTCCGGGTCCGGGTCCGGGTCTGTCTCCGTTCCGCCTGTAAAGCATTCACATTTAATTCCATCTCATCTCATCTGAACTCTCGTCTCAACTCAACCATTTTGTGCGTGTATTCTCGGTTGCACTTGTTCCTTGCTTGACTTGTTTTTATTTTGTTAATTCTATTGTTGTGGCATCTGTTGCCTCTGTCACTCCCACTGTGCCACTGGCACTGGCACTGCCTATTTTGTTCCATTCTGTTTTTCTTGTTTGCTTAGATGTCTATGTATTTACGTTAACCCCTGCCAAGTAAAATATTTTAAATGTAATTTTCTGATGCGCCTACCACTCTGGCACTTGGATTTGCATCGTTCCGAATGCTGTGCCCTGCTGCTGCTGTGCTGTGCCCCACTTCAGTCTGGAGTGTTACTTTTGGCAATGTCGAGTGCCTACGATGTGTGCTCTACACACACTCCAATCCAACAGACCTTGGTGACTGCTGGCTGCCTTTTTTTTGCCCATTCCAGTTCCTGGCTGGAGCTTCCCTTCAGGAGTGCACTGGGCCTCCTGGCTGGCTGGCACATGCATAAATATTATAAAACGTGCAGCGGCCGCAATAGGTAAGTGCAGATCTCAACTGTCTGGCCAAAGTACTTTCCCTCGGCTCTTATAAATAAGCCCACTTGCCGACTGTATGTCTGTCTCTATGCCTAACTGTGCGGCTGAACGTAGGCCAGGATTTTTCAAAAATGCTTTGGCTTGATGTAAGGAGCTTTTATGCACGAAAAAACGAATGTGAACAGATGGCACTTCTTTGCTGTGGTGCAATAAATTTCGGTCAAACGCTGGTCAAAATCTCGGCACATGTTCATGTTTTACTAGACGAGACTCGTAATAGTTCTTCATATATTTTATAGATTTTTCCCAACAGAAAAAAGGAAAAAGTAATAAATCCCTCACAATCATCGAAATCCTATCAGATTGCTGTAGTTTCTTTCTACCAGAAATAAGTGCCGTCGCAAAGCTTTACACAAGTGTACTTATTCAAATCATACCGATTGACCATCAGAATTTCGTGCTCAAAGATAAGCTATCCCAATAGGAGATATGGGGCGGGACAGTGCTGTGGGAGTGCGCTCGGCTCAGAGCAATTAACTGCCAGTTAAATGCAATTAACTGCAGAAAGCAGAATGAATTCCACACGAGAACTGTATTTTAAATGACTGCAAGGCGATAAAAATTAAAGATTACCAAATGGAAATCACAAAAAGAGGAGAAAGGGACTCTTCCCTTCAGGTTTCAGGTTCAGGGCGTATTATTAATTAAAGTCGTTTCGTGTCCCTTGTGTTAAGCCTTGGATTTGTCATATGCAGAACAAAATGCTGAATTAAATTGCACTTTCATACGCACTTGTCGGATAAGTTGGTGGACGCGCGTCGTCTGTGTCCGAGTTGTAGGCACGTTGCAGATGTGGAGCTGATGTATGTAGGTGGTAGGTAATACCCTCTGGACTATGTTCGAGAGCCGCGCAGTAATCGCGATAAGCACAACAACAAACGAGTATGAAATCTGGAACGAGCACCAGTACAAGGCGAGGCGATATATATTTATGAAAGTCCACAAACAATGTGTAAAAACGGCAAGTTGAACACGCGCGTTCCACGAGTATGTACTTTCGATGTCAGCAGCGATGGGGGATTTAAAATTTTAATAAAGTCATATACACGCACACCCGGAATGATGAGGGCGAAGATGCCAGAGAGCCAGTGGCAGTGGCAGGGCCAATCTGAGTGGTACTGGATGCCAATGTCGATGGCAAACGTCGTTCAGAGGTTACTCCTGGCTATACTCAGGCCTCGCCTGACCGGACCGACCAGCAGCAGGTCTGTAGCCGAAATTTGTTGGATTGCATCAATTTTTAATATCTGTTTAACATTTCAATCGAGAAACAAACAACAATAACCGACAAAACAACACTTCTCGCGGAATCGTTGCATTCGTAGCTGGATTCGTGTGCAAAATTTAATTAATATTTAATTTTTCATTTATTGTATTTTTGTGTGTATTTTGTCTGCCATTTCCATGACGCATCGCGGCACGCTAATAAAATTAAACGGCCCGGACCAAAACGGCGGCACACACGATCCGACCCGCTCACAAGCGCGCACACACACACATACACTCACACGCAATCTCGCACACGTTGGCAGTTGGCAGTTGTGCTTTTCTGGGGTCCCACACGTTTCGTTGCTTGATTTGCCTGGTTTCCGCGTATCCTTGAGCAGACCGTAGCGCCACGTTCCGACACGAATACGAAACTGAGCAACGGCATTAACAAAAACTGGCACGAGTACCAAAATGTCCTTTGGCTCTCGGTCGATGCCAGCTCGTCGTCGTTGCAGGGACATTTCTGCTCGTGTCAGCTCTTCGCCTCATCATCTTCGGCCGCATCGTTTTCACTCAATTACGAATGAAAGTAAAATTGCACGAGCAACCCCACGCACACATGCATATATACACATACATACATGCACATACATATATATGTGCATATACGGATGGCAGGCTCGGGATTTTGAGTTTGTTTTGGTTTAAGTTGCATTGACTTGAAAGCTGCTTGAGAGAGTGCTTGGGCCCTGGAGAAGTGGGCCTATCCCAATCACATTTTCCTTTTGGCCTTTGGCCCGTTTTCTTCTTCTTTGGATGCTGGGGACACAAAATATGGCTGGATTTTGAAACATGGTCATTCAGAAAAAAATTAAGCGACGAAAGAATTCGCATGTTTATATTTGAAATTTCCCCATAAATTGAGACCGTAGGCATTTTCGTTTATCAACAATTTTTGGATGAGACTCGAGCTAACATCTAAACTCTGTGGTGATCATTTGGGATTTTCTTATTTCAACCGTAAATCCGCTTTATAACCGTACAATTTACCACAAATTTACCTTTTGACACAGTGAGCCATATAGTCAGGTGTAAAGAGAAAATAGCCCACTCTCTCAAATGTGCTGCCTTTCTCTTCAAGGACAGCGCCTGCGCTTTGCGCGCTTTCCAGTCAGTCCATCAGGGAATTATAAGAGTTTTTCTGTGTTGGGACTTTTTCGCTTTATTCAGCGCCCAGCGCGACCAAAAGATTATTTTTATTTTAAATCATTTCCGAACATATATGTAGAAAAAAAATCAAACATTGGGGTGGGCTGTCCCTGAAAAAGAAAATGAATCATAATTGAAATTGATAATGTTGAAACTGATATGTTGGATACACACCATCACCATCAAATCTGCAGAGAGAATAACGTGTTCTTAGATCGGAAATACATCTCGAACGCGTTGGAAATCTTGACCTTTGATGTGGATTGGTACATATACCAATTAAGAGGTCGAATTATAGTTACCATGGTTAGATGGTCATGGTTTTCAAAATCTGTAGAGTATATGTAAGCTGTTAGGATCGGAGCTTCATGTGGAACCCATTGAAAACCTTACCCGATCTTGTTGATTGGTAGATATACCAACCAAGCGGTCGAATGGCTTCATCATGTTTACATTTTCATGATCTTCCAAATCTGCAGACATGTGCGGTTAAGCTCAGAAATATATCTCCAAAGCAGTGTAATCGTAAGCCTTACCCGATCATGTGTATTGGGTCGGGATGTTGGGGTACGTGTCACAGGATGTTGCTTAGCCGCAGTCTTGTTCTCCTTGTTGACCTTGGTGACTGGCCTGTCGCCCTTGCTGGTCACGGGCTTCGCTTGGGGTTTCCAAGACATTTTGGTGCTGCTGCTCGAAAATACTGGTATGTATCGAACTTTAGTGTGAATTTGTTGCGAATGCTTTGAAATAGCTTCAGTTTATGTATACATATTGTGAATTTTATGTGGCTGCCTGCTAGATGCTCAGGAATTGTTATCACATTCGCACTGTGACACGACACGAATGTCTACTCTCTGTTAGACAATAAGTCTGACTCGACGGCTCCTAGTCTACGAAAGGGGCAAAGGCACGTAGCACGGGGCACTGCCAGTCAGTCAGTCATCACTCGTCATTCGTTATGGAAACGCACAAGTATGGGAATTTGTGTGTGTGTGTGTAGGTCTGTGAGGGACCATACATCATAAGTGTCAGCGAGTGAAATTACGCACAAAGCCATATAAATGAGTCTACTTCAAGGCGCACTATATTTATGTACTTTTTCGCGAAAATTGTCGCACTTGCATGATATATGTCCGTGTCCGACGATGGCTCCGACAATGATTCGCCCTCCGTCTAGTGCTCTCTTGGTTCTTTATAAATTAATTTGCATAAATTACGTCATATGAGGGAATCCGACTTTAAGCCAGGCCAAACGTTTGCTATTTATCAAAGCAAATTCCGCTAAATGTCTGGCTCAAAGCAGCAATCATTCATTCATTCATTCATTCCATCACTCAGCCGCCTCATTCCCACTTACCACTTGCCCTCCCCTCACCGACATTTCCATTTCCATCCCCACTCGCAATTTGCATTTTTCGCACGGGCATTGTCCGCCTCGGCAACGTCGGAGTCACCAACCAACCAAGCAACCCCCTGAGGGGGGCAGCAACAATGTTGATTGTCTGCTAAAGAGCATAAAGTCGTAATGGAGTGAAGGCAGATAAACATAAAAATAGCATAGAATTGTGGGCACACAAAAGGGAGTCAGAGCCAGAGCCAGAACGATGGGAGGTGGGAGTGTCGGGAGTGTCGGGAATAGAGAAAAGCGAAAGGAAATAGAAAAGCCAAACTCGTAGAATGGAAAATGCACGCGTACGCGCAAATGTTATGGCCAATCACTTTATTTCACTTGTTTTCAATTTCCTTCAGCGATGTACATTCCCTTACATTCCATTCTATTCCTTTGCGAATCCCTCTATCTCACGATGTCTTACAGGCGGGTGGTTGGGTATCACGTAGAAGCAACGGTCATGCTAATCAGTGTGACAGCTGCCTAAATGGTTTCATCTCCATCTCAAGAACTGAAAATTGAGACCCCGAACCACACCCCCTGAAGCCGCCTGGAGGAGTGTAACCACCAAGTTGGCCGCAAAAACCATCGAATAATTGAGTCATCAAATGTTCGGCGCACCCTTTTACTTTTGGCTGCCTTCGTCGCTGCTTTGACAATTAACCAAACTATAAAATGTTTAAGTTTGAACACCTGACAGACGCCGCCATGCCTGTAGAAAAAGATCCCTCTGCCCAAAAAGGGCGCTCACACGAACGCACAAACTCATCAACATTCCAGCACACACACACACACACACGCACACAAACAAATACATTTAAGCCAATTAGCATTTATGTGCGACGCTGGGTGGCAAGGGGCCGCAGGAGCACAAAATGCGTTACATTTTCATCAAACGCACGACACTTTGTTTTAATTTGAGCAACCGCACGCACACATACACACATGGTTACAGTCACCCCCTCACAGACACCTACACACGCATACATACATACACAGTGACAGGCTTTGGTTTGGTCTCGTCACGGTTTGGAGGCCACATTCTCTCGGGCGCTCACGCATTTACAGATTTTCTATTTGTTGCTGTCGCTGGCGCTGCCGCTGCCGCTACCGCTGCCGGTCCCCGAAGGACCTTGCATGGGATATTACATTGTTTTGGGCAATTCGCTTTTACTGTGATTAATTTAAATGCACCCCCCACTCCCCTCCTCCCCTCCTCCCCTGCGGCGCGCGTTCCAAAGCTGTGACGATTGTATTTTTTGTGCTTGGAATTACGCCGGCATATCACGTGTTTGCCCTTCATAAATATCCTTGAAGCCCGAGCCGCAATTTTAAATCGAATTGCTCATAGACAGGCATCCCAGGCGACAGGGACAGGGACGGTAAAGACAATTAGCCCCTTGGCAGACAACGCCTAGAGATGTCGTGCTAATGAGGAATACCCTTGGCCAGGCTAGGTTTGGTTTTAGGACCGAAGGGAAATACAGATTCATTGTGGGTTCGGGATTAATGTGGGAATAATTACCATATTTCGAGATTTGTGTTGCCAGCAAAAATTCAAGAAATTTAAGGCATAACATTGTAGTAAAATAGGGGTACATAAGCGTGGTGTCCCATCCGTCACTCACATCAGATCCATCCGATACTACACTCTTTCGTTTCTTTGTGCAATTACTGAAATGCATTTTGGACCTGGACATCATCCACTCCTCTTTCTCGCCGCAGGTGTAAATCAATTCACTTTTTGGTTAGTGGAGCACGTATAGGGTGTGGGGCGGTGGGCGAGGGGAGAGAGGAAGTGCTACATGTAACGTTACCTATCTATTTCAGTGCGTGTGTGTATGCTAGGATTTTCGGTTCGGGTGTGCGTGCAGGAGCATACATGATCATGCATCATAATCCAAAACCCAAAGCACAGGAGAGTATGGCCCCGTACAGGCAGAGGCACAGGCACACAAATACACACACCCACAGATACACATCAGTTGCTTTGTAATTAATTACTTCACACATTGACGCCGGCCAGCATCGGGTGCGGGTGCGGGTGTAGGAGTGGATGTGGATGTGGGTGTATTCCCAACACCCAGACACCAACACAAATGTAAAGTTTACTCTCTGATTCTGTCGTTGTTGGTGTTGCTGTTGCTGTTGCTCTTGGTGTTGTTGTTTCTGCCGCTCATGCTAACTAATATTGTTACCAGCTTTTTGGATAGTTAGCTGCATGTTTGGTTAGCTGCTTCTGTTGCCGTTGTTGCTGCCGCTGCTGCTGCTCCAGCTCCAGCTCCAGCTCCGTTGTTCATATCGTAAATTATGTGCCATTTATGCGGCATTGGCTTGAAATGGAAATTTGTCCCATTTGTTGCTCTGACGACGACGAGCAACAGAACCGAGACACTTGAGTATTCATATGGGACACAGCACATACCCCAAGGCATGTTGTTTGGCATTGATTTATGTGACCGAGTAAATTTGGCTAAATATTAAATGAAACGTTAAACACAACAGGCTCTGGGTTCGGGGTATGGGATGTGGGGTGAACAGGGGATGGTATCTTGAAGAGATCAACTTTATTTTTTACTCATAATTAGTGATAGCTGAAAAAAGATATCCCTAGAGGACGCCTCCGGCTTCAACTCTGACTTGAAAGCTCATTCAAGGCATTCACTTTGCCTCTCCTCTGTTACCCAAATAATGATGCCCTCAATTAAGCCAACAAAAGTTCTGCCAACAACTCGTCAGAGCCCGGCTGCAATTATACTCGCAGGCAAATTAAGTTAGCGCCTTCAGCTTCAGCTGCATTGCCATGCATTCGAGCCGTCTTGGCCGAGGCATAGCAGGGCGGGGGCGAGGCGGGCCTAGGTCCAAGGATTACATGTACAAGAATTATATGAAATTTCCTTACAGCTGTAAGGTGAGAGCGGTTTGTTTATATAGTTGTTGCTGCTGTTGTTTCCCCGCTTGCACCTCGCTGTTATTTTAATGAGGCAGTACGGGTGAAGAAGAAACCCTGATTAGGAGCAGCAGGGAAAACGCTAGAAAACGCTAGAAAAAGCCAAGTTGCAAGTGGCTTAATTATGAGTTCAAATTAGTTTTGGCCTAAGTTGACTACGGGCCACGTCTCTTCCTTATTACATTTGCAACTCTAGTTTCAAAAAAGGGCACATTGAGCATACGCCCTGCATGTCCTGCATGCCCGAGCTGGATCAGGGGGAGGGCCACAGCCATATTAAGTGCTGCACATGCACATGCGGCATGCGGCATGCTGCATTCTGTACAGCATGTGAGATTTCTAATTAAACTTTCATGCGGTTGTAACTTGCTCCAAAAAGTTGCACATTTGATTATGCTGCTGACCAATAAGTGCAATCATGTTGCTGCATCAACAGCAACACCAACAACTACTCTAAACAGCAACAGCAATTAACTAGCGGGCACATTGGGCACTTCGTGCGAAAGAGAAGTGTTGGCTGACCAACAAACAAACTGTTGGCTTAAACTCAAAAGCGGCAACAATTTATGCGGACGGCAACGGCAACAGCAACAACAACAGCAACAACAACAACAGCTAAAAACATTTGGCGATTCGCGTGGCCAACAAAAACAAAACGACCAACCACCATAAACATCTCACATATGAGGATTTTGGCCAGCACTCAGTATACGCCTGTCCCATCTCTCCACGTACATTGCGGTTGCCACATTGCAACCAGAACAGCCCCAAAAAATAGTGAACTTTTACCCCAGAAGCAGGGGTTTGTTGCTGGCGAAAACCTTTTCATGTCGGTGGTATGCAAACATTTTCAACAAATAGTTAACTAATATTTCGAACGATGCAACCAGATATGCTTTATATCTCCCCTTCTATTCATAGAAAACAATTCCAATATTGCAACCATTTGGCTTACTTTACTCATAGCGTGGTACGATTTTCATAGTTGTATATTTGCAAAACTGGCCCAGAAAGAATGAATCTTGTGTATTTAAACCAACCAATTTTTTTCTGCGTCTTTGTTAAGAAGACTTTAAGCTACTAAGTAAACTAAATAGCTTTTCAATTTATAAGAAACACTCTAGGAATTAAGAAGACGACGCAGCGACTATTCTTTAAACGGCAAACATGAATCTCTGGCTCTGCGGCCAGCTGTCTTCAAATGTTCCACTAGAAGTATTTTCACACACAAAAATTCCCATGCTAGTACAAGTGGCAAGCAGCAAGCGGCAAGCAGCAGCAACATCAGTGCGAGCAGCATCAGCAAAAAAGACGAAAAAATATTATGTAATTTTACATTCAAGTGAGCGGAAAATATAAATAAGCAGCAGGTGCTCATTTCCTGTTCCGCAGCAAACATGGTACAGCCAGCCAGCGAGCACACAAGCA